AGAGAGAGAGAGAGAGAGAGAGAGAAACTGATACTAAGTCCTCATAATTCTCTTGGAGGGCCCCCCACCAATAACCTGAAGACTTCTTATTATACCTGAACTCAGAAATTTTCTACCACTTCCATGTGGGTGAAAGACACTGACCAGGCCATAGGTTTGAAACTACAAAAAAAGATTCTTATCAAGGACACGGAATATGTGACAATCTTAGGCAAATAATTGAACCTGAAAAGTAGAGGAGGCAGCGGTTTCCAGAAACTGGAAGAAGGAAATTCTATCAGTCATAGCAAAACCAAGTGGATAAGGAACCACATGATTCAGTGAGTGGGGAAGAGGAAAATCAATCCCAAACACTTTCTCCCTTCCCTTCATTTGATTTACATGCATTTTATATTGGTCATACCCCAGAAATATTTGAGACCCAGAGAATAGTCTTGTTATTCAAATTAGTTTATGTCCCACTTATGACTGCTGACCATTTGCTCCATTTGTGACTGTATCATTGCAGGATGCTGTCTGTCTGTTTATACATCTGAAAGTTATGAACACAACCACACTTGTGTTTTTCATATAAGCTTGCAGAGAAACTGATCCAAGTAAGAAAAGAAACTAAGAGCAAGTGCATTGGCACATTCCTATAACAGGATCTAATTCAGAAGATTCAATAAAAGGATCACAGCTCAAGGCCATACTGGTCAAAGAAGATAATGGGACCCTATCTCATAGAAAAGGTGTGATGTTACACACCTGTAATCCCAGTTACATGAGAGGCAAGGGATCATGTTCTGAGTTTGGTCCAAAGCAAAAGTATGAGACCCTATCTGAAACATAATTGCAGCAAAAGGAGCCAGGGGTATGTCTCAAGCGATAAGAGCATTTGCCTGGCAAGGGCAAAGGCCCTGAGTTTAAAATCTCAGACCATCAAATATAAAAATTAAAAGAAGAAATGTACTTATCATGTATCCTTTCCCCTTTGAATTGTGTGATCACATGAGGTAGACATAATAGTAGTAGCTAGTTTAGACCAAAATGATTCCTGCCAAATCTTATTTCTTTGTGTTTTATTAATCAGTATACTTTGGCAAGAAGTAATTGTAAATATCTTGCATTCCAAATATATTCCTCAATCTTAGTTGCCCAGTACAGACACATTGTCTCTGTAGAGACATCATTTATAGTTATACTATACATAGATATAGATACAAATATAAATAAGAATAGATTATAGATAAGATCTTTCATCAAGCCCAATATAGAGACCATCTTTTCTGCATTATAATTTGTTTTCCTGTTTGATTTTGTCATTTTACTTTGTTCTGTTTTATTTTTTCTTTTTGCAGTTGCAATGTGTTTCAGTTTCTATGTGGTTTCAGTTCAAAGTAGTTAGAAGGAAAACTTCAGCTTCAAATTCAGGGGAATGAAATTAGGAGCCTCTTTCTATAGGAGCCATTATTCCTCTAGGGCCAGGGTGGGAATGTCTGATTGGAGGGCTGTATAAGGACTGTGGAATCATGTGCTGCATGACAGGACACATAAATATGCTTCTCTGATGCTTCTAACCAGCTGCCTGTGCCTGTCTGTATTGATAATTTTGTAGGCCTACAAATCATGTCACAGATATCCAAATGGACCTTGGCAGAAGAAAGGTTCTCATTCCTGTTAGGCAGTGGAAGTTGTATCCCACCCACTTCTTTATTAGTTGGCAGGAAGCAAATGTGTTCAATGGGCATGATAGTGACAGGACACCTTCACTTTTATTCCTCAGTTTCTAGATCTTTTTTTCCCTGTGGCTATTCAGGAAGGGTTCATTGCTTTCTATATAATGACATCAATTTTCATTGTTATTGCCAAACAAATACACCCAAAGTAATGTAGAGAAAATTATTTAAGTCTCTCATCCATGCAGAGGCAAAACTAATGTGAACATGAACCCACTCAATCTTCCCATGTGAGCAAATAGCCTCCTGTTTGCAATACAATATTATCATTTGAAGGTGTTTTAGTGTAGGCTGTTCAGAAAACAGCATGCTTTTTTTTGTCCATGTATAGCTGTGCTCATATTACTATAGTCAGAAAGTATAAATCCACTCTCAGAATATGTTTCTCTTTCAGTGGCACAAATTCTCTCCCTTCTTAAAAGGAACGTTCTCATGCATTCTATCTGCTCCAGGCCATCAGCTAGTCTACTAGAAATGGAGCTATGCCAATGCCTTGGTGATGCTCATTACCATTGAGGGGGCGGGGCCAGGAGATGACTGCTGTCTAATGACCAATCATCTTGCTCATCTGATTCTTGACAGTCACTTCTGCCATGGATGTGATTTGGTGAGCATTGAGTGACACACTAATATCTTCACATTTTCACGTGTTGGTCTCTTTTGGCAAATCTGCCCACTTGAATTTTCTAAACCTCCCTACCACAGATTTTCTAGTTTTACTCTTGTTCTCTCTGACTGATGATTACTGTGCATGAGTCAGGATGGATCCAGGCCTTGAGGCAAATATTTTTGAACAAAAAATTAGCTGCTAAATATTTCACTTAAAATCCTGCCAACCTGGAATATTTGTGTTTATTACTGTCTTCTGATGCCAGTCATGAATTAGACTGAAGGAGGGAACTTATCCAATTGGCCTCATACATCATTGAGACCTACCCACAATTCAAGCTTGGATTTATTTACGGTATTAAAAAGCATACCTTAGCCTACAAATGTGAGATAGGTTGAGGAGTTGAGCAGAGACTGCAACAGTACAAGCAGTCAGATGTGCATTTGGGCTTAGTCCCTTATAGTGTAGCATCTTTTCGTAGTGAAACTTGGTTGCATATGTTCACTGGATCAGATAATAACTAGTTCAAGATGGGGAGTTTGGACTGAACAGTCACTTAGTAACTCACTGTCAATGTAATTGTTTCTACCAGAGCCCAGTAAAGAGCATATTTTGAAATAGATAATATATTATTTTCTGTTCAAATGGTCTTTCTGTAAAGCTTAAAATGCCCGACCTATGATTATCAAGTAAGAATTCCAAAGGCTCCATGCAGCATCTCTGTCTCTCATAGTTGCTTACATTGTTTTTCCTTCTGGTGGCCATGGGTACAGAAGGAGAGAAGTCTGCAATTCCATTGAAGAGCCTTCTCTTTTCAGGTTTGGTGCAGAGCTGGCAGCTTTACAGGCCACCTGGGAAATAGAATAGAATCTTGTGCAAAAGTGATTCTGTTTTTCTTCAAATGGCTGAATTCAATTCCTCTTTTGTTTTTGCACATGTACACTCCCAACAGTTTTTCTCTCAGTTTGGAAAAGTATGTCCCGATATATCCCAGACTACTAGGTCACTACAAACTTTCAGGGCATTGCAAGCTGTAAAACTTTCACAGAAATTTCTCTTCAATTGTCAATCTATATGCCAAGGTAGTCTACTTCCCTTAAACACAGTGGCTCGCTCTTTCAATAGGAGATGTGTAGGAATTTTGAGGTTCACAGTATGTCACATAGAACAGCACTGAGCTATGGGAAATGTGTTATTTATGATACCCATCCAGAAAGCATTTCTATTATGCTTTCCTTTTCCCTAATTTCTTTATCCTTTCGGTAAAGGCCCCAATCCCTCCTCACAAGTATCTTTACCTTTGCCTAAAAGTACAAATAAATATGAGTCCCTTATTTGTGTTACAAAGCTTCAACATTCATTATGCCTTCTGGAACTTTATCTTTTCCCACATTACAGAGGAGAAGGATTTTGCCAACAGTGCCAAAGTGACCTTTGTTGGTTTGCTGTGTACTTTCAGGGTATTTGTTTCCATTTCTCTTCTTGCCTATAGAATTTCTCCAGGTTCATATCAACGATTTTTCATCATCTTTGCAGTCACCTGTATCTGTTGTGGCAATGAAGTGTCACAAATACTTGTTCTCCCAATACCTTTCTCCTCTCCTTGCACATCATTTTTTGTCATCACTAGTGATGATTGATTACTCATGACTCTCTCTCTTTCTCTCTCTCTCACTATGGATTATCGATGACCCAAAAATATTATTGCACTCTACATATGCACACAGGTATTAAATTTTTAAATGAACAATCTTCTATTTAAGTGTCTGTTTACTGAAACTACTGCTGGAATGCCAAAAAGAGTGGGCATGTTCATCAAAATTAGTTGAAGAGTATTTATTTGCAAAGAGAGCACTGACAAAGTAAAGGTTTAGAGAAGCCAAGAAGAAAATGCTTTAACTAAATCTAATTGCAGCCAAGCTATCACCACCACTCTGGGCATAGTGATGAGCCATTGCTAGACACAGAGAAGAGGCATTTGATGGAAGCTCACTGACAGAGTAGTGACATAATTTCTAGTTCACAGCCAACTTGAGGTGACATTGTAGGATAAAGCTGAGAGGAAAAGCAACCTGTCTTGGCTCTCTTCCTTTTAATCTCCTGCCTAATCACCAAAATGATCTTGCCTTCTGGAAATCAATGCATGAAAGGGGTTTTCCTTTTAATATAATTCATTCATTCTCAAAAGGAGTAATAGAAAAGTGAAAAGTGGACATTGGACATTAAGGCAACATAAAAGTTATCTAAGAAGTTATTTTATTCTGTTTCTTTAGAATTAAAGATTATTTAGTGGATTAGTGGGATCCTCAACCTGTTTGATGAGAGAATGAAAAACTAATGTTGAGCATGTATGGATGAGTGGTTGCCTGCACACGTCCTTCTTCAATCACTGATCCAATTCATTTTAATCCAGTGGTACTCTCATGTTCTCTGTCCACATTGCTGACAATCTATGAAATCCTGCATCTGTCACCTCACCCTATTCTTTAATATCTACTTTTCCAGACATTGAAAAGGTAACTCAGAAATAGAGAGTTCTCAGGGAAGTGGACAAAATGCAGCACACCATGGATAAAATAAGCATGTGCAATGATGATTTCAAGGACAGATGTTTGTGGGTCACTGAGCCCACATCTCTACAGTTGGTTTCAAATAACACTTGTTTATTCTAGAGGAACTTCTACATTCTCACATTGCCCACTGGTGGTCACCAGATGGAGAGAGGCTTGCCTTCCTGATGATAAATGACTCCTTGGTGCCTACCATGGTTATCCCTCGGTTTACTGGAACACTGTATCCCAAAGCAAAGCAGTATCCCTACCCTAAGGTAAGCCATCTGGGAATACTAGTGTGTTCCTTCTCTCTACACTGGTTTAATGGAGAGCATTCTTGGTTCATGAACAAGCTGTCTTTGGAAGAGAGAAAAAAGCTCTATTGGTAGACAGATTCATCATTCTTCAGGGTTCTATAAATAGTGAAGACACCCTGCTGGGTAGAAAGAGGTCGTAATGATTTGAGGGTTTAAGAAATTACCCTTTGCTACACAAACACACACACACACACACACACTCACAAATATACATATATTTTTTTTTCCTGGTGATCATTCCTATTTGTTTCTCATTTTCCTAGTTGGAGAAAGAGGGAAAAATGGTAAGAGGACAAACTGCTGTTAGGATAAATGTTACTCTGAGGAGTTGAGAATAAGTGTTATTAAGAAAGGAAAGTGTTGTAGTCAAATAAGTTGGAAGTTCTTGTTTTTTTTAATTTTTTAAAATCAAGCCTTTTCACAGAGAAAGTACTCTCTTATCTAAGAGCATTTAATATACTATATGTTAATGTATATTATAAATCTCCTATAAAAATTGACTGAGCATAAAGTATTTCCAGTAAGGAATAGTCTAAGCATAAAGAATCTCCATAAAGAACAGACAAAGCATAAAGAATCACCAATAAAGAATAGCCTAAGCATAGAGAATTTATTAGTATTAGTATTAACATCAGCATTATTTTGGCAGAGCATACTATGGAACATGGTTTGTGAAATGCTGGCTTTGAATCATAGCAAGGGGTGAATAGGATGGATGAAAGGGTTTTATTGGGAGAGGAACATGTGAAAATCCTGCCTGCAAAGCAGAACTATTATCAAGTATATAATGAGGCCACTAGGAACAGGATGTAACAACATTACAGTATATTGCGTTTTCTGTTGTGGGTCATCCTTAATTTCTCAAGGACTTTCTAAAAACCACATTTCCATCACATGTTTATATAACAAAGAATAATGGCTCATGGAGAGACATTAATGGCTCAAATGGCTCATGGTGAGACACCCTGTACATTAATCATTTAAAGATGTCATATAGAAAACCTCAGAAATTTTTCTTGGCATAATTTAGTAGCTCTTAATTAATTAAAAAAAAGGCTGCTGGTTTCATTCAGAAGCTGGTTGTAAGCCATCCCTTTAGAGAGTTGCACTTTGGTTTTCCTTAGTACAATAGGTTTTCTCCTTCTGAGTCTGTGCCTTGTCTTATATCAGCTGGGCACAGAACTTGGAAATCCCCACAATCATAGTTGATCTCAGTGTGGGGTGAAAGCACAGCAGGTCACATGGAGGTGAGGTCAATTACAATTTCCTCCTCCCTCTCCCACTCACCAGACTCCAGTTATCAAAAATGAAGACAAAAAGTCATTAGACTTGAAGAAGCAGGAGAGCTTCTGCACTCCTATTTCCTTTCATTTCATGTTCTACTACCTTTTTAGGTTATCATATTAAGTACAAGATTGAGAGGAAACTTGGAAGTCATGTTTTAAGGGTTTCTCTGTACGAAGATTAAGATAAACACATACTCAGAGTTCTTTGGAAGAAGATGGCAGTCTAGCCTGGCAACCAAATAATCCAGTTTCCTCTTCATTAAGAAAATGTTATTGTATTTCACAAAAGGTCTTACGACTTTTCCAGTTGTAAATTTCATGGTGTATTTTTTTTTTTTTTTTTTTTTTGGATAGGGGGTCCGGTCGTGGGGCCTGAATTCTGGGCCTGAGCACTGTCCCTCAGCTCTTCAGCTCAAGGCTAGCACTGCCCCTTGAGCCACAGTGCCACTTCCGGCTTTTTTACTTTTTGCTTATGTGGTGCTGAGGAATCGAAGCCAGGGCCTCATGCATTTAAGGCAAGCGATCTACCACTGAGCCACCTTCCCAGCCCCTTAGTAGCGTATTTTGTTGAGGTTTGTACCTCTGTAGCACAGCTAAACCTTTTTTGTCTAAGAAAAATGAACTGAAGTATTCTCAAACATATTATTTCTCGCATACCTTAATAATGATGAAAATCTTCCTGGCAATTAAAGGAGAAAATTAGAGAACTAGGGACATACTATAAACTCTTCAGTGCATTGAACAAATACTAGGAATTGAAATCATGTACAACTGTTCAGGCCCACACAAAGGGGATAAAATCAGACCTGTGAAAGAGGCAACACTTGATAATTGATTTTCAAAGATGAGTAATGGCTCTCTGATTCCCATAGAAAGCTATATACATTAGCTCCAGCTTCAAGTTGCTTCCTCTCTTAGAGATAGCCCACAGTGTTTGAACTTCACATTTGTAGGCTTTGTAACTTCAGTCAAATAGAAACATCTGAGAAAGTTCAAATATATCAGCAGGAAGTCAGAAGGCAACACAAAACAGGACAGTTTATTATTTCATAATTTTATGTAATTAACCATTTAATAATGTATAGTGACATACAGAAATTGTATAGTTCACAAATATTAACCCGATTTTATGTTTTCTGAGAGATTTTTTTTCCACTTTTTTCTTATTTGGACATGATCACAATCACCTGCATTTTATAAATGGGAAAACTAAGATTGCAAAAGGTTGAGTTTTATAAAAGTCAAAGCTATTTTGAGAAGAGAAAAATAACTCAAATTTATTGATTGCATTCCTGTCAGTAAAGCTACCAGAGGTCAACTCGGATTTCAGAAGATGCAGCTGAAGTCAAAACATCTTCTTGTCACCTTAACAACTATTTGTGGACCTGTTTGTTCCATTTATACCTAATGACTTAGTTATATATGGGAAGCAGTCTCACACCTGGAATCTATGAATATAACATGATGAAGGTCCTGAGCGTAATGACTACAGGCTAAGAATACTAAAAATAGTACACAGAAATGAGTATAGAGGCTGGTTAGAGCAAGACAAATGACCAAGCATACCTGTCCTCAGGTGGCTGATATGTAGAATTCCTGGTCCAGTACAGCAGACAATAAATAGGACCCAAAGAAATTAGGGCTTACTTTGGTCCTTGTTCTCAGAACAAATGCCAAAACATTTTAATGATCATATTTTAATTTATAGGCTTAGTATCTTCTACTCATTAAAAATATACTTGTTTTTCCCCCAACATAAGCAAACTACTTCAACTCACTCCTGTGCAATAAACTTTCAAACAGTGGTTCTCTAGAAATTGAAATAACATATAGAGTTCATACTTAATTGTGCTTTTCATTACACTAGATTAAAATTAGTTCAGCAAATACTCAATATGGCTGAATTTACTAATGAAATACTTCCACCAAACAAATATATTTGTATTTTACTTAATTCAGCATGATTCAGAACTCATAAAATACCCCATCATTAGCAATTCAGCACAAAAGAATTGCACAGTTCTATCTCAGTAACCTCAGGTTAATCTTCTTAATTAAAACATTATCTCGTTTGATGACAATTTAGTTGCCAGTAAAATAAGGTTAATTATTATTAAGGCTTGTATTTCAGAATCATAGAGGAAAGTATTCTGCAGATTCACAGTCTTTGTGGCAAATGTCACTGTTAAAAGCAAATAGATTAACTCTTCTAATTTGCAAACTCTTCAAATGATTCAAATACTAAAAGGCTGGATGTGATTAATTTCAAAATCCCATGAAAAAATAAAAATATAATTGAGATTTTTGAAATGCTAAATTTCTGTTGAGTTGTTCACATTTTGTCTAAAATCTGGCCTCATGTGTACAACTTTTAATTTGTATGCATGGAGAAGCTGTTTTGAGATACAGTAAGCTTCCAGGAAACTTGTAGTACTATTGACAAAACTGACAAAAATATGACAATAATCTGTTTTTGACAATATGTCAAAGTATTCATCATTGGTAAGAATCCATAGTATGATCAAATTCAATTTGATTATTAAATAGTATAAATATAAGAATGATTTTTCACTGATTAGAAATTAACAACTATCATTTTAAACTAATGCTATCTACTATTTTAGACTCTTTATGTAACCATCTTTTAGTCTGTTCACTAAGTAGAACTGATATATTTTTATTCCAGAGAACAGAAAATTTTGACCCTGAATGCCTGACTTGTGAAGTATTTTTACAAAAGTGTTTTTCTCATTTTTGATAATCAAGTAAATAATACTTGAAAAATCTTAAGCATTTGACCCATGATTCATCTGAAGTAAATAAGAGTCAAAATTTGGGTGATATTTCTCTGACTCACAGATTAAACTAGATCTTAAAATGTGTTTCTTTTTCATTAGTGTCAGGGCTGTCAGACTACATTAAAGGCCCTTAAAGACAAGCTCTGCAGACTGCTGAGGTAGATGAGCAGGATAGATAGACAGAGAAGACAATTGAGCCCAGGCATATGAGGGTTTGAAGCAATGTGAAGTTTTATAAAATTTGATGCATGAGTGTTCAGTGTGAACAGGGTCAGAACTTATCTCACAGGAAGCCCTTTACTATATGAATAATTCTCTCTTTATAAACACTGAATCTGTAGTCAGACTCCTGACCCCTCTCTTAGGCTCTCAAATTCTAACCTGAGTATGAAGCACTCCTACTTAATTGCCTTTGATTGCTTAACCAAATAATCTCTGTGATAGAAGAGATTCAAATCGGGGCCTTTACCATATAAGATTTATACCACTTGATCTAAGCATTCTAGTCCTTTTGTTTTACAGATAAGACTCAGGCTAATTTTGCCTAGTCTTTCATCAAACTTTGACCCTTCTGCCTCTGCTTCCCAGATTGTTGGGATTGTCTGCAAAAGCCACCACCTCGAACCACAAAAAGAAACTGTAGAGTCTGAGTGGAATATGTTGTTATTTCTGGTCCTGACTTAACTCTGGATGCATCAATGCCCACTTTCTTGAATATGAATCTATATTTGTTTTCAAATCATTGAATTGGTCATCCTCTATATTTTTAATTCACCTCATTTTTAATTTCCTTTTTCTCTTTGTATTTCATCCAGTTCTTGCTTAAAGTCTTATTGCTTAGAAAGAAACACATTGAACCAAATCAACTGATTTGATACCTAATCCACTGTTGAAGACATTCATTCATTCAAGCTGCCTTGCTAGTTCTTATTTATTTAATAAATTTTTGTTCTACGGAACTGTCCTTACCACTGTGATCTAAATTTATGCCATATACTCAGGGAGGAAACTTTGCCCATCTTTCAAGGATCATTTAAACAAATGAGTCACCACATTTAAAATCAGTAAATTTAGAAGGAAAGCCAGGCAGATTATGCATTGGAATACATTATTAGCCTTTATAGAATATTAAGCATATGATACACATTATATGTGAGTAGAATTTCTATAATTTTACATGTTGGAAGGAGTTTTCTCCCTCCTTCCTTCCCTCCTACTTTCTCTCCTTCTTTCTTTCCTTCCCTTCTTCCCTCCTTTCCCTTCCTCTTTTCCTCCTTCTTCTACTTCCTCTTTTTCCTCCCTTTTTCTTTCCTTCCTTCCCTCTCACTGAATTTCAAGTGCTATAATGAGAGTAGTGCCTTGATCTACTAGTCAGTCTGCTCAGCCAGCCCTTTTGCTGCGATTCTAGAGAAAAGAAACAGTAACTGCTTAATGAATAAAGCAATCATGATTTTCTATCACCTTTAATTGTCTGACTAAAATGCTTAAGAAGCAGCAATCTACAAAAAACAATTGAAAGCAATCAAGTTGTTGAATTTCAAATCATTTCTACTTCAGAGAAATCAAACTTTCCCCCTATGACACAGAAAAGTAAATGAGTCAAATATGCCTTTTTAAAAATTCAATATAGTCTAATGCTTAATATACTTGCATTACAACTTTCATTTTCTCAAAGGCAGGTCAAGTGAACCCAACAATAAAATTATATGTTGTAAACCTCTACGGACCAACTCATACTTTGGAACTCATGCCACCCGACAGCTTTAAATCAAGGTATGCGATTTCCATTTCACTTTTACGGGGAAATAGATATTTTCAAACCAATGATCATTTTGTTGCAATTTAGAGAGATGCGATCAGCTCAACAATTCCACTTGAAAATAAAGCTGAGGTTGTCCCATTAGTGAGGAATGAAATCATTCTGCATATCTGGCTCTCCCCAACAAGCATTTCATTTCAAGGTGATTAGTGGCACCACAAAATGGCTGAAGAAACTGGTAGGATGAATTGAGTCTTTTGTTGGAGACATCTCAAGGAAATAAGAAGCAATGTTTTTTTCCTAGAAAATAGTTTGTACGTGTAAACAAAAAAAAACACATTGATGTTTAAAACACCATAAACTCCATGTAATTTGTACAGTTTTTCCAACTTTCTTCCAACAGCTGGCCAAGGATTCTTTAGCATTTTTCTCTAGGCAGAGAAATTTAATGAGGTTTTGTTTCAAATTACCTTACATCAGAAGCTTCCATATTTAAAATGTTTTCACAGGGAAGGAAAAAAAAGTGTCAAGTGCATGAATTTAATTTTAGCCAAATCATCTTTCCATTACAAATAATCAAAATAATTTTCATGTGCCATTTGAATTCCTAGCGTGTCTCAAATTTCCTTTGTGGAAATTTATCATAGTTTTGGGGATGGTAGGAAGTTGATTCAGGAAGATGCCTTCACATTATATTTAATGATATGAGACTTTGTTCAAAGTTTGCTTTGATGAAGTCTCTAATACAGGGTAACTGAATCTAGTAGGTGTACTTGAATGGTGATTCATTTAGGAAACTTTTATCCTAGTTAGTGGTAATTACAGTATAGCCCAAGTTATATGGAGACTTTTCCATGGAGAAAGCATAAAATGCATAGAATGTTTACACTACAAAATCCTTTAACTACCTAATATAGACTATTTCAATTGAAGTGAAAAATAAAACCCAGAAAGAATAATAGTGATCATACAACTTAAGAAGTTGGTAGCAAAATCCTCCATGAAGGAAGGTCTGGGCATCAAGTTACTGAGGATTTCATCTGCATTACATAGTGAGGCTTACAGTAGAGTTCGCTGAGTTGAGCAGAAAAGTGTATTTCTGAGCTTAGATGACCAGCCATGAATGACTTTTGCAGAAGTGAAGCAGTTGTGAAAACTGGCATTTTGTGGAACCCATTACTCTTCCTTGTTGAGTTGCTCCATACTCAGAAGCAACAAAAAGGAACACCTGACTAGGAGTGGTTGGGTTTCATGTCTACCACCTTTCACCATGTCACTTTGGAAAAGACAGTTTTCTTCTCCCAAGGCCTACATCTTTAGTCTTCAATAAATCATTTCTAAGTGTTTTCCATTTTTTTTTTTTGGTCTCTATAGCATGGTTTTAGTATTCATGTGTCTTTTTAACAGGAGGTAGTGATTCTTGACCTTTATTTTGATTCCTATATACAAAATATAAATATATACAACTGATTTATTCATGATATATTTTCCCCATGTCCTAGTAATTCCATTGAATGCTCGTTTTTTGTTTTGCCTTTTGAGTAGCTATGCTATTCTACTCATGTCATTTGTAATATTATTTAACAGTAACAGAAAAACAAATGATTAATGTATTATATAATATTTCACATGATTTTGTATGTTGTCTAAGTAAGTACTATGTTTGTGTACTTATCTGCACAATGCTAATTAATATGTGAGCCATGTTGTAGTACTTAATATACTTAAAATCTTTTTTCTTTGTGATTCTTACATTTTCTGCCACACATAAAGCTCAAATATGACCATCTCTCACTTTTCTAATAAAATTACTGTAAAGATAAGAATAGACATGACTTTGGAGAAAGACAATTAATAAAATAATATAAGAAAATATTATAAATATAGGAAAATACCATTTTGTGATTGAGCTGCCTTTCAAACAGCATTTCTTGTGTCTACCCTAACAAACAAAAATTATTTGAAGTCAAAAATCTTAGGTCAAAAAAATTAGGTTATTTATTTTATTCTGTTTGATGGATTATTTTAATGAGTGAGTTATTAATATAAAACTGTATAAGTTAGAATTATATAATAAAGTCTTCAACCTAGAAGATTTGTTTGACCTTACCTTTGACTAATTTTTTACACTGTAGTGAGAAGCTTTCAACCTATCAACTAAACAGATTTTAATTCATTTATATAGTTTACAAAGGAAATTAAAAGTTTACAGAAACCTGCAAAAAGACATAATTCCTTTTCCTAATTTTTACCTTCAGTCAACCCTTTGTCTTGTGTATTTCTTTTTATTTAGGTATTCCTGATAAATTCTTAGACTGCTAATACAGTCTTTCTTCTGCAGCAGTTCAAAGTCATTACCATGAAGTTCTTCTTTATTCAAATCATAGTCTGTGTTATTCTGAAAAGAATGTGTACTATAGGACTTAAGGTAATGACACTTCTTGAATGTCCCCAGAACCAGCAACACTGGGAATCAGATGAGTCATCTCATCCTGAGAGGCAAATTGTTATGCTATGATTTTAGGGTGCTGGAAACTCTCATAATCTTTATTAGAAAATCTAGGTGGGGATTTCAAAACATATAGTTAAATTATACTGAAAGAATTTTGTGATAATAACTCACACAGTTTTTTCCTTAAATTAGGAAAATATCACATTAATTTGGAAAAAATGATGCCTTGTCCTTTGTGTTCACTCATGTTCAGTCATAGGAGTAAAAGTAATGATTTGTCTTTGTATTCTCCTGTGTATTTATCATCATTTCACTCATTTGGAATCAAATTACCCTGCTTTTAGGAACCACTGTTCTCCATCTGCATTTGTGATGTGGCAATACCATATTGTTTTTCTCACTTAGGGCTCAACACCATCATGCTTTTTCTTCCTAAGGTATTGACTGGAATATATCTAGCCTACATTGTTCATTCTTCCAAGTAATGTTTATATCTTCCAGTATTTAATCGAGGGATTCATCTGTGTTCATGGAAGTCTCCTAGATAGCACGTCTTACAAGTAATGCATAGTTATTGTCAGAAGTTGGGGGACATTTCTTATGAGTAAAGCATTAAAATACACATCTAGGCAGAAATCTTTGAGTTAAATGTATGTCTCCAAAGATTCTGTGTGGACACAAAGCAGTGATTAGACAATCATTTATGAAAACACAGATGTGACTGCTAACTTACCAGTCTGCAGGTGAGGCCGCAACCTCCATTGTACAAACCTTGTGGACAATTAGATCTCCTGTGCCAGACCACCCAGAAAATCTTGACTTGAGTGTAACCCTCTAACCTGCTTGTCTCTGTCTCTATGGCTCAAGAGGACCAGATCCTCGTGGACTTCCTGGGTATTCCAGAGCCATGGAGACTAGGAACAAGCAGGAAAGCCAATTATAAGAAAGGGACACTTCTACTGGCCACTGGTCATGGAACACCAAATCTAATGTGTTCATGAGATGGATTTCCAGGAGAGCCACATCTGCAGCAGGTAGGAAAGGAGTGTGGAATTCTGGGTGAGGGCACTGTTAGACCTACTTCTCCATTAAGGGAAAGCCTGAATACTTACCAACAGACAGCATATGTCCATGTGAATCGTCAGAAATGTGAGCCTAGTATCCCATGGCAGAGAAAGTAAGAAAACAGGAAGTGACTATTTAGTAATGTGTCTTTGCACTTTGCCTGTATGCCGATCTCTGCTTAAACATTCATTTTAGGTGTTTTCAACAGGAATATAACATTTTCAGAGCTTGGAAATTGTCTTTTGTAAGACATTATAATGCAATTTGAAGAACTCTCTCATTGAGAATTTGATTACCAAGTACAAAGTGATATTTGGGTATAAATAAGATACAAACTAGTGTGCCCCATATCAGATTAAGTTTTGCTTAATTTTACAAAGAATACATATCCAAACCCCACCAATAATTTCATTATCAATGGAAGTATCTGAATACAAGATAATATTTTCAGTTTAATAATTTAATATCTAAGTTAATTTGTGTAGCTACATACTTAGACCAGATGTATCTAAACAAAGGTGTTTTGTGATACAGACTTTCTTCTGTAGGTTTTTTTTGGGGGGGGGCTGGACGAAGGTGATTAAAACTGGGCTGATTAGCTTTCATACAGTACTATGGATGACACATTTCTAAAGCAATTTATATATTCTATAATCTGTGTAATGTTGTAGAAAAGTTGTTCCTTTTTGTTTTCACCATAAATGAAATCATTTCTGATGACTGCACTGTTGTATGCATGTCTACAAGAAGTTTGTGATATGTCAGTTTCCAAATGGAGAACATACATTTCATAAAGGAAAAAACATAAATTTGTTCACTCCAACCACATTAAGACATTATAAGTCCCATTAATTAGCATTCCTAGTGTACTAAATGTTTTAATAGCCAATCACACTTTTAGTTTAATTTCTTCTTGGTTTTTAAATTGCTTCAAATAAATAAAATCCTTAACAATGCTGTACAAACACAACAAATATCACAAATAAAAGGCTAGTACTGGCTTTTGATTCATAGCTGACAAACACCAAAATAAACTATTCATTCAGACATGTGTAGTGAAAGCCTTTGTGTATAAAATATGATAATATGAAGATCACAAATGAGGCATAATTATTAAGTCAAGATTAACCTTTGTCTTTTAATTTATTAATTGTACTTTTAATGAAATAATATCAAATGACTTGAAAATATATATTTGTTTTGCACATATACCAACCAATGAACATTTCTCATAGAAATCTAGCTAGCATCTGCTAATTTCAACTTTCTGAGAATTGCTTTTCTAAGAATTCATTCATTCTTGAATTTATTCTTACTTTCCTGTGTATTTGTTTTCATATGCATATGTGTATCTATACATATGTTTATACATATATGTATATATCAAATATACTCAGTTGCATTATACATGCAAGTATTTAAAAAGAACAGATGTGTGCACATAATTACAGATAAATAATGTAGCATCCTTATAATTTTCAGTTATTCTTTTATGTGAAATACCAAGTATTTAATTTTGGTTCTACACAGATTTTTTTAGGCTCTAAATATAAATGTTAATTTTTGTCTCCTAACTAGAGAATACTATATCACCATGGTTAAATGGATAAGCAATACCAAGACTGTAGTAAGATGGTTAAACCGACCTCAGAACATCTCCATCCTCACTGTGTGTGAGACCACCACTGGTGCTTGTAGTAAAGTGAGTATGACTTGCTTTTCTTCTGTGACAAAAAATGAAGTGCTTTATCATTCTTTGCAGAGGGAAATCAGGAAATAGTTTGCATAAATATTTTGGATATTTCCTAAAAAGTGGGAGTAAATGAAATCAATAATAAAAAGTGAGCAGAAAGCTTTGAAATAATACATGAATTCCTACTTATATAAAGAGTAATTGTGTCCCATTATTTTCTTTTCAAAGAGGGGATTTTTCTCTGTATTTTGACATAAATTAACTTGAAATTATAGGAATTTGTTTCTGTCTTGTTCAAAGACATTTTTCTGTAGTACAGATGTCTCATAATAATCTTTCTGTTCTTTAGTTAATTAAAAATTGTTCTTGATCTACATTTTTTAACAGTGTAGCTTTTTTCCTTTCCTTTTCTTTTTTCCTTTGTTTGTTATGATGCTTGAAATCAGGGCCTGTGCTAGTACTCTACCACATTGAGCCACAGCTCTACTTCTAGTTTTCTGGTGGTTAATTGGAGAAACGAGTCTAACAGACTTTCCTGCCTGAGCTGGCTTTGAACCTTGATTCTCAGATCTCAGCCTCCTGACTAGCTAGGATTACAGGCATGAGGCTCTAGCAACTGGCTCAAAGTATAATTTTAAATTAAAATTAAAAAGATTATTATCAGATTTGGAATTTATAATACCATTGAAATGATCAAAGTGTTCTATAGATGCAGAGAAGTATAAATATTGCATATGGCTTTCTCGGGACTAGTAGGTAGGAACTGAAGTAACAATAACTTTGGAAAAGCTATCAGAAAGAAATGAACAAATTGAATAATTTTCCTAATAAATAATCATATAAAAATCTTCATAAACAAAAACAGAAAACATGTAATTTTTTGACCTGGAAAATAGTGTTTGAAATGAAAATTTGACCAGATAGATTTTACATATCAGACCTTATTACAGTAAGGACAATAGAAATAATCAAGACTAAAGTGCAAAGAAAAATATGTGAATAATTAATAAAGCCTGAATAACATTTAGAATACTATCAAATGGTATATTATTGTGAAATAATATGTTCAGATATCAGGATTTAGATCACTTGGGCAGGAAAAAATTAAGAATAATCACTTAACTCCAGGTACATTGTCTCTTACCTGTAACACTAGCTATTTGGGAGGCAGAAGTTGGAGGACCACAATTAGAGGCTGGCCAGAACTTCAATTTTCTGGGATTCCTGAGGTTGGGTGCAGTGGCACACACCTGTTATGCCAGCCTGGGCATAAAGCAAAACTCTCTCAAAAAGAACCAACAGAAAAATGGCCTTGGTAGAGCATGTGCCTTACAAATGTAAGGCCCTGATTTAAATCCTCAGTACAGCCCAAATAGTGAAATAAATAAAAATACTTAAAATAACTTAAAGTTTCTTAACAAGGAAAAGACTAGGTCACATTTCCAAAGGTTGGTAAATCCTAAGCAGTGAAATACTATACTTTGTGGAGGGGAAGGGAAAAAACAAATTGTTTAAATAGGGATACAGGTGGCCCCATTGCAACAATAAGATGTACAGGACGTTATGTTGAAAAATGAACTTTACAACTTAGCAGGGCGGGGGGGGGGGAACCGGCGCGGGTGGGGGGGAGATGGGAAGGGATGGGAAACAAAGGAGGCAATAATGCTTGGTAAGAAATGTACTCATTATCTTGTCCATGTAATTGTAAAAAAAAAAAAAGTCTAAATATTCCCTACTGAAATTATTGCTCAAACTTTAAGAGAAATATTTGAAAGCATACCTATAGAAAACCACATTAATAAAAGGGCATATCAATAATGTGAATCATTACCCAACTTTCATCAAAACATATTATTCACAATGCAATTGAATGACTTTTTAAAATGACTTAATAGAAAATAATTAGAGTGTTCTGAGATTTTTTTGCTACTCTGTGTGTGTGTATGTGTGCCGATGTGCACGCCAGTCCTGGGGCTTGAACTCAGGCCTTGGTACTATCCCTGATCTATTTTTTTCAAAGCCAGTACTCTGAATTTTGAGCCATAGCAGCTATGATGCTCAGATCTCAGACTCCTGAGTAGCTAGGATTATAGGCATGAGCCACTGGGCAAGCAGCTTTGTTCTAAGTTTTTCTAGAAAGAACTACATTTGTGTATTTTAGTTAAGCAAACTCAAATGATAGGACTAGACTAGCGATTGAAACAGTAATTTAATGATACATTGCTGATTGTTTGGGAAAATTCAGCAATTCCAAATAATTGCACCCAAGAAGAAAGTTTAAAATACCTAAGCAAAATGCATTAGCAAATGTTGGCAAAGCTAAACAGATATACGATTATATTTTGCTTATCTAAATAATTAGTGAAGAAGATTGGTATAGGTGAGAATATTTGGTTGGTATAAATAACAAAATTATAATTAGAAAACATTTTATCTAAGAAAGCCATAAGAACGATGTTTACATATATAAAGAACTATTCACAAGTTTCAACATAAAATTAATTCTAGTATTACTGTATTATTTGTAAGAGGATTAGGTTTGATATATGTAGTAAATCACCCATTATTTAGATTTTCTAATCTATCACTCCTTCTGAGGATGATGCTACACATGTATACATTACTTGGGAAACTAACACAGGAGGATAACAAGTCTAAGGGCAGCTTGGAATACACAGCAAGACCCAAAGAAATTTAACTACTTAGAAACATTCTAGTGGGTATTGATGGCTCATGCCTGTAATCCTAGCTACTCAGGAGGCTGAGATCTGAGGATCACAGTTCAAAGCCTGCTCGGGCAGGAAAGTCCATGAAAATCTTATTTCCAATAAACCACCAGAAAACCGGAAGTGGTGTGTGGGTCAAATGGTAAAGCATTGCCTTGAGCTTAAGAACTGAGGGACAGTGCCTAGGCCAGAGTTCAAGCCCCATGACAGACCAAAAAAACCAAAAAGACAAAAAAACAAAAATACATATTCCAAATGTCCTTGAAGGTGAATTCAATTTGCCACACAAATAAGGTGTGAATTTTAAAACCTAATCACAAGAGAAACTAAAAATTATTTTGAACTGAAACATAATGAAACTGCATGCCTACCTATACTGATCCAGTGAGTGGTACTTAAAATGTAATTTACATTTTTATTGCCCATCTGTGATGACATAGATAAATATTATTTGCAATTTGAAAAAAAAATAAGTGGAATGTACCTCTATGTACATGATAGTATACTACCCAGCCTTGAAAGACAGAAGAAGAATTTGCCATTGCAACAACTTAGGTCAACCTGCAGGACATTATTCTAATGGGAATAAGTCAAGCACACAATGATACAGTTTTACTGATAATTGCAATTTAAAAATTGGAATTCATAGAAAAAAAAGGAAGGACTAGCAGAATAAATGTTCGTACTCCAAAGATAAGTTGATCAAGTAACAAATATGCTAATTAATTGATTCAATCACTTCACATATGATTCACTATAATACATTTTACCCTGTACATATGAATAATTATTTTTGTCAACTAACAAGTAAAAACAAAAAGAGAATAAAAGAGAAAAATGTGTAAAATGAATAAGAAAAATTCCCATTTAAAAAGTCAGAAAAGGCAAATTCAACTCAAACTAAGCAAATTATAAAGCACAAATTTAATAAAAGAGAAAAATACTTGAGAATTCTATGACAATAAAAATTGTATAGTGAAAGCATTAATAAATTATGGATGTTGATGTAAAAAACCACACATTCAATGCAATGCTTAACAAATTCCAATAACATTCTTCAATGAAGTAGGGAAAGTAATCCAAAAGTTCATATGGAAAACAAAAGACCACAAATAGTGAAAACAATGCTTAGCAGAGAGAACAAGGTTGGAGGAATGCAATACAAAATTTCAAATTCTATCACAAAGCCATAGAAATAAAAGCAGCTTGTTGCTGGCACAAGAATAAGCTTGAGCACCAATGAAACAGAAGACTCTATATGAACCCACAGTCCTATAGCCATCTAATATTTGATAAGAGAGCCAAAAGCATAGGTTGGAAGAAGCACAGCCCTTCAGCAAATGGTGCTGGCAAAATTGAGTATACAGGTGCAGAAAATTGAAGCTATATCACCCTGTACCAGAATCAAGTCAAATGGGATCAGCAATTTCAATGCAAAGCTAGAAAATATGAAAATATTAGGTAGAGTAGGAGAAACATTAGGACTCCTAAGCACAGATACAAACTTTCTAAGATCCAGAATTATAACAAATCAAAGAAAGATTGGGTAAATGTTAATGCATCAAACTGAGAAGTTTCTGCTTGGCAAAGGACATAGCTAATAAGCTAAATAAAAAGTCCAGAGGACGGGAGAAATTTTTTTTCTAGCTATACATTAGACAAGGGTTTAATATGAAAATATACTTAGACCTCAAAAAATTAAACTCCCCCAAATTAACCCTCAAAGAAACAACAACCCAATTAATAAATGGACTAATGACTTAGAGACTTATTAAATGAAGTAAGAATGACCAATACTTTACACATAGAAATGTTCAACATCTCTCTGGCCATAAAAAAAAAAAAGGTAAATCAAAACAAAGTTGAGATTCTACCTCACCAGAGTTAGAATGGCTATTAACAAGAAAACTAACAATAACAACTGCTGGCTACTATATGGTCAAAAGGGCACTCAGTTGCACTGTTGGTGGGAATGTAAACTTGAAACACTCTGGAAAGCAGTATGGAGGTTCCTCAAAAGACTAAACATAGAACTTCCACGTGACCCAGAAATTCCACTTCTGGACATTTATCCAATAGAGCATAAACAGGGCCACACTAAAGTGAGCAGCAAAACCATGTTCGTTGCAGCACTATTTACCATAGCCAAGATATGGAATCAGCCCAGATGCCCCTCAGTTGACATATCTATCTATCTATCTATCTATCTATCTATCTATCTATCTATCTATCTATCTATCTATCAATCTATTGCTCGATCGATAGATGAATTTTTCTCATCCATCAGAGAAAAAGATATTGTATCCATAAGGAAATGGAATGACTTGGAAAAACTGGTTTCCCTCATTTGTGGTAGCTAAAAGGTGTCTGTAGACCTACAAATAAACACTGAGTAGTAAGCAAAGGGTTACAAATGAAGTAACTGAAGTGTAACAGACTCTGTGGAGAAGACAAATAGTGTATATTTTAAAAGACTATGTCAAATCCAAACAAAATAAGTAGCAGGAAATGGGGACTTGTAAAACTATTAGGGTGGGGCCAAGGAGAGAGAAGTAGAAGAATGAAGCAAAAGCGGGGAAAATGCAGGCAAGAATTAATTACAGATACCACAGAATTGAGAACTGTAAGGGAAGGAGTGGGCGACATAGGGGTAACGGTGTTGAAGTTGTATATGATTCATTATACTAACACAAACCACTTTGTTAAATGGCAAAACATTGAATACATAACCTAAAATTAGGATAAGGAAGGCAAGGGCTGGGCTGAGAAGGGTGGGTGAAAATGTAGAAAGGCATGACACTATTTTCATATACTCCCTTAATGAAAGGAAACTCTTTTTTATAACTATTTGGACATAATGAAAATATTTTAAAAAATACAAAAATAAACAAATATAAAAGAGCAATAGGAGCTAAGTACCAGTTGCTCATGCCACACAAACAAAACATAAGGAAATGGTACATATCAATAAAAAAACTAAAAATATCAAAATATGTAAAGGTAAACTTAAATAGAAAGTACTCATAAAAATATGAAAAATTATTCAGCATAATCAAACATGAAGGAAATGTCGTTTGAAATAATCATGAAACAATGTCCTATATCAATCATGAGATGGCAAAATTTAAACAATAAAAGACTGCCTTTATCTTTTGATGAAATGGTATAAAACTAAAATTCTCTGTAAGTGGGAGAATAAAATGATGCAATTACCTTAAAAGTTAATTTTCAGTTTCAAATAAAATTATACATACATATACACATGATGGTAAATTTTTGTGATATTAATAGATAAATCAATATGAATGTAAACATGCTTTATTATTCCATTTCTAGGTATTTTCCCAAATATTAAAATATATGTCTACCAGAATATTTTGACATAATTAGGAAGTTTTACTCATGATAACTAAAATTTGGAAACTCTCCAACTGTCCATTATTAGGTGGATGAAAAATAAGGTATATGCTTCTTTACAATAAAATCCTGCTCAGCAATTTAAAAATGGAATAGAGTAGAACCCTCAGACATTCAATAGTTTGAAAGAATCTTTAAAAATAGCTGATGTGAAAAGTGCCTCCACCCATGTATGTAATGTGGTCCTATGTATGATTATGATTTTCCAAGTTTCCATATCCAAACTAATTGAAAAGATCAGAGCAGTGTTCGGCTTTTGGTAATCTCTGGGAAAGGAAGAGCCTGGGGGAACTTTTCTGAGGAGATGATGATCCTGGTGTTTTTGTTGTTGTTTGTTTTTGTTTTTGCCAGTTCTAGAACTTGAACTCAGGGCCTGGGCACTGTCCCTGAGCTTCCTACCACTTGATCCACAGGGCCACTTCTGGCTTTTTCTGTTTATGTGGTACTAAGGAATCGAAACAACGGCTTCATGCATACTGCAAGCACTCTACCACTGAACCTACATTTTGATACAGTATAAATACACTGATAAGACTTTATCACCTCTGTACTTAAGGATTGTACATTTCAATCCATGAGAATATTTTTTGAACCACTGTCTTAAAAATATTCTGAAAGGAAGAAACAAAGTGGCAAAAACAACTGTGATTAGAATAGTAAAGATGTAAACATAGATGCAGAAATGAGATTGTTGAGCCAGTCATAACTTAATGGGTCTGATGTTGCTATGATGTTGCATATATTATATATATGATTAGCAAAGTATCTCTGCCATCTCTTTCATATGGGTATATTGTAGGTTGACCAGGAATTCTCCTTGTATTTGATGGGTTGTTCTTGATGGGTTTTATTTAACTGAATACTATGTCACTGTAAAATTGGCTTACACAAGACAATATGTGAACAGGGTAGCAAGTTAAACAACTAGCATGTATGTGACACTGGGCATGATCACTCAGAAGATTCTAGTAAATCAGAGCCTGCTACCTTCTCCATAGAAGGATAATTAAATATTTTCATTACATATGTATAACTGCAAGGATAGCTTATAATGTTACAAAAATAAAAGTAATAATCTGAGTCCTATCATTCACTTGACAACTTAGTCATATCCTTACATAATCCTAAGTAATGCTGGGAATTAAAAAGATTTTGTTTTCAGCTAATAGTAATTGTAAGGCCAAGTATGATACCTGAACTTTTTAATTCTAGTGGGTTCTAATACAACCAATGACCCTAATGAGTATTGACATCAACATGAATTTATCTCAGTCCTTTTTACGTATCAAGAATTGTTGTTGCTGAAGTACTAATAGAAAACCAAAGCAAAGTCAAGTTCAGTGTTGTTTTTTTTTGTCTTTGTTTTTGTTTTAATAAACATATTCTAAAGCTAGACATCAGTAGAACACACGTTGTAGCTACTTGAGAGCCTGAAATTAGGGGCACTGAAGTTCCAGGCAACCTAGGCAGAAAAGTTCATGAGATCCCCCCCCCTTTTTTTTTGTCGGTTGAGGGGCTTGAACTCTGGGCCTGGGCGCTGTCCCTCAGCTCTTCAGCTCAAGGCTAGCGCTCTACCACTTGAGCCACAGTGCCACTTCCAGTTTTTTAGTGGTTTATTGGAGATAAGAGTCTCACAGACTTTCCTGCCCAGGCTGCCTTTGAAAGGCAATTCTCAGATCTCAACCTCCTGAGTAGCTAGGATTACAGGCGTGAACCACCGGCGCCTGATATGAGATTCCTTTTTAACCCATAAAAGGGCACAATGGCATGCATTGGTCATCTCCAGCTATGTTGCAGGCTAGTAGCGGTAGGATGCAGCTTCAGGCCAGCTTAGGCAGGGAAATCTGTGAGATTCTCCCACCACGGAAAGAAGCTGGCTGTCATAGCATATGACTGGCATTACAGGCACAAGAACGCCTTTGTTAGGTAGTTTGTGATACAGGATCACATCTATGCTGAGATAGGTTAGCCATTTCAAGAAGAGCCAATGAAAAGCCGGGCTAGAGTCTTGGCTCAAGTGCTAAAACACCACCCTAACAAGAGCAAGGCCTTGAGTTCAGAACACTTTATCATCAAAATGAAAGTAGGATGGAAGGAAAAACTGAGAAGAAATAAAGAAAACCATGAAAGAAAGAAGAGAAAAGATGGAAAGGAAAGAAAGGGAAAGGGAGAAAGATAAAAAGATCCCGGAAAATAGAAAATGCTCAATAACTAATAAAATATCTTTAGAAAGTGAAAATAAGAGTGATACAAAAAGTCTTTAAAATAATGGAACTGGGCAAGGGTTCCTCATATTTGTTACTCAGATGTCTGATATCCAGATGATCTGAATTTGGGTCCATTCTGGGAAGAAAACTCCATAAGGCTCCATATCTAAAAATTGACCAGCAAAATTCCAGATTGGAGGTGTGACCCAAATTAGAGAATCCAGCCATACCACAAACTGAGTGATCCTGGAACTAAAACAATTTGAAAGGAGTAGTTCTGTGTTAAGAAAAATATCCCTAACACATTGTACCTATTTTTCTTAATTTGAATACTTCCATAACAGAATAATTTCTTTCAGAGAGCTGTCAGGTATTTAATCTCATTACCTAGAAACATCATTACTGGAATATTTTATCTATACATAATGAATTTGAGATTAGCTGAATTTTGCTTTATATTAGCACTATGATTTTTGTTCTGACCATTTGCAAGAATGTGTTAAATAATTTATGTTTCTTTGACATTTCAAATGTTTGATATTCTTTTAAAAACAGAAGTATTACTGTTTAAAAAATGGCTATGGCTTAAAGTGGACTGAATATGGAAAGAATGCCCATTTTTAAATTTAATTCCTTGGCTGTTTGCCTGGTTCTATTAGAATCTGAATAATTATGTTTCCTGATGTTTCCTAGAGGTGAAAAAAAGGCAATGTCTCATGGTTAAAAATAGTTCAAATTAGGTAATTAAACAGAGCTGGAAAGTGATCTTCCAGCCCTGTTTACATACAGCCTGAGATCTCTGTAAGAGTTGACTCACTCAGTTAAATCAATAATGATAATGAGAGACTCTCATAGTCTCTCCTGGTATTTTACTCATTGGACAGAGGGAAAATATGTAAAAGTAACAGACTAAATAGCATTAAATGGCTATTTGTTCATTTTAGTCTCAGATACTTTATGGAGTTTGTTTTGTTTCAGAAATATGAAATGACATCGGACACCTGGCTCTCTAAACAGGTACTATTTGGGTAATCTGTGTCACATTTTGGTCATTGTGAACATTTGATTCAATCATTTAGCAATTAAAAATTTTATGTAAAAAATTATTTCAATTCCATAACTTTAAGGCTTTGGTAGTTTTGACAATGTTTTTTTCCACTAAAATATTTATGAAGTCTGGTTTGGTATTACACATATTTAATCCCAGCTCTTAGGAGTTTTAGGAGCATCTCAGGGACAACCAGGACTACATAGCAAGTTCAATGCCCATAAACCCCCCAAAAATAAGTAGACAAATGAAATTTATGACTTGAAGCTTTTATGACTTCACTTATTAAGAAGTTACTTATGTGTTTTATGTTACATAAATTTCTCAGTAACTACTAAGATACATATCCAGGATTATTCTTAAAAATAAATAATTTTGCAGATGAAGAGAAAAAAATTTACAACCTGTTAAATTTAGAAAGCATTTTCATTTTTGAGATTATCCAGAAAATTGTGCAAATCTTCTGCCTAAATTGATCGTGTAAAAATTATTCAGGTGAATACCTTTTTCCTTACCTATATCTTTGCTCATATTACTATTATTTTGTGACATAAATTAGCCTGGAATGTAGATAAAATAGTAGAGAAAAACCCTGAATTTCTCTATAGTATGGTCTTATATTGGGTAATTCAGAAGGAAATTTAGTTAGGTTGTCCAAATACAACAGAGTCCTTTTCATGCTGAATTTTCTACAACTGTTTTTTGCCTAGGGAAACATTATGCTTTGGTTGGGTAGATTTTGACTTATTGTGTTCAATATAACTCTTTTATTCTGTATTCCTTTCCTAGGTATCATATGCATCCATGGTTTCAATTACTACCCATATATTGAAACCTCCCAATTTACAACTCCAGGCAATCCTATGAATTTCAAAATATCTAGATGCATTCATTGCATCTATTCAATCTATACAAGTAACTATTTATTTCATAGATCCAAATTGAACATATTTGTCTTCCAGCCAGTTACTTCTTTTTATCACAAAATTCAGTAATACAATTATCCATCTAATGATTGAGACCATGAACTAGGTTTTCCAGGAACGTGTTCTCATCCTTATTTGAATATGTAATTTATCATTAAGTTTTTCAATCTTTTATCACAATGATCTGTTAAGTTAATTGACTTTTCTCTGATTCACAGACACTATCCAGCTTGAAACAGTCCCTTTTTAATAATCTGTCCTTAATTGGCAAACTCTCAACCCCTCAAGTACCTGCAAATCTGTTAATGCTTCGGCCACAAAGTGGCTTATGGAAATCTCCATTTAATTATCAAAAGGAGCAGCAATCTCATGATTCTATATTCATAACTCAAACAATTTCTGTTCCTTCAGTTTTTGTCCTTCAGATCATAACCAACAGCTTTGTGGTCCACAAATAATTAACTTGGATTAGGTTTCAGCTGTATGTCACACCATTCTTACGCTGTTCTCCATTCTAGCTATTTTAACTTTCATATGCAAAGAGTATGTGGCCCTTCCTTGGGAACAGAAATCTCTCAAATATTTTATCATCTGAAGTGTTTTCAGTTTTCAGTCTCATCTTATATCTCCTACTTAAGTCACTCTCTACTCACACTAAAAATTTTACATTTTTCAAATAACATTACTTCAAAGTCAAGGGCAATACTTATATAACTTGTCTAACTATTTATGTGATCAAGTACAAGGGCAGAAAGGATGTTTATTTGTTTGGTCTTTATTATAACAAGGCTTGAGCAGAATTCAGTATACAAGTAAAGCTCCATAAATATGTTAAAAAGGAAAAGTCAAAAGGACTATAAGAAGGCCTTAACCCTTACTTGTTTGAAGTATAGATATACAGATAGAGAAATTAGATGGGTGATAGATAGATTTGATAAGCATTAGTTTTCTTCAACATATATTTTATGCATTTGCATGTATAATAAATGAATATTTATCAATGCATGTAATTTTACTCTAGTCAATATACGAGTTATAATTGCAATAAGAGTTTGATATTCCAGCTGTAATGGACTCTCACTAAATTAACACACATACTTAAAACAATAGAAAACAATTTTATAATGGATATTGAATTATTCTGAAATATATTGTTTTATGATAGTTATTTTCCATCATTTTATGGCTAGTGACATTTATAATAGTTTACCAGACATCACTAGATCTAAATTCAAAATCCCAAGTCTATGAATGTTTAATAGAAAATTTTTAAAGCAAAGCATCCAGTTATGAATTATTCAGTAAGAAAATGAAGTTTTGATAGTTTATCCATGCTGATTTTTTCTCCATCAGTTCTAACATAATTTTATTGAGTGCTTAGAATTAAATAAAATTAATGAGATGAGCATGGTACCAGGAAAGGGAAGAACTGAATTTCTAAATAAATATCTGAGGTAATTAAAATTTATCACCTTATTAGTAGCAGGAAGGAAAGAGAGAAATAGACTTCATTGGCCTGATTTTAAGTTAGGTGAGCATTATATAATGCAGTTGGTTAATGAACAATATGCCAAGTCTAGCTCAATATCTATCAGGACCACTACTTCTTTACGATCATAAAAGTAAGCAGTAAGGTTGACTCTAATATAGAACTTGTTGCTTCTAGTCAAATATCATCCAGTGGTGAAAATTCATAAGTTCAACAACGCAATTTACATTGTAACCCCAATCTTTCCTTTTCTAAATCACTTGTAATGCTGGTGTTAATGTAATGGGAAGAATGCTTCAATATCAGTATACTATAGAATATTTCCATTTTGAGTAAAGGAGAGAGAAGTAAGAGAGGAGCCTGTACATTGGAAGAAATACAGTAGATAGAGTCAAACATATTTAAACAATACGTGTATCTACCACATGTACACTCATATATTAAAAACATATGAAGTTAACATCTACTGTGTTCTAAACTATCAAATTAAACAGACAAAATTGGAAATGGAGTATAATTATTAGTTCCCTGGTTAGGTAAACCAGTTGGTAGATAATAAAATAGAATGAATTGGAAGCCATGGAGAGGTAAATTAAGGATACTATTCAGGCTGTCCAAAAAGAAATTATTTAACTAGAAGAGATTCTTTAAGAATATTTGAGGATGGCCTATGTCTCCTGAAGTTAAGTAGAAATTGTAAAAATTAGTAAGAAAGAAAAACAAAACAAAACAGTAAAACAGAAAGTTTGTTCTTGACAGAAGATGCTTCTTGATCAGAGGCAATGATCAAGATATCCCAGGGGCTGAACAGGATGATTCCCAGGTGAAAACTAGGATGAACTCAAGTATGTGTTTTGTCATTATTTATTATGAATGCATTTGTGCAGATTTTCCAACTTTAAATTACATATTACTTCAGAGGTTTTATTATGCGTATTATCTTACCCTGAGTTCCCACAAGGTAGACAAGGAATATGCTTTTATTTTTAATCTTCAAATAGTTATATGAGAGTTTTCATGCTTTAACATGCTTATGTATAAGTGTATAATATATATACATAATATATATGCGTATGTATATATGTAGGCTATATGTACATGTATATATTTATAAAACATTCCATACATGTATGCATCTTGGCATTCACACAAACATACAAATGCATATGCATCTGCAGAGGAGTGGTGGCAGCCAAATAAAATAGAAAGGAAAAGGGGATAGTTGTGTCAGCTGTTATGTGACTTGTTTTCTCAGGGTTTGCATAAAATAATCAGGAACTTTCTCATTGGTAAGGTGACACTGGTGCAAAGACATGAAGGAAATAAGAGCTAGACAAAGGTAATAAAAAGTAGGAAGACAGAGAATCAGAAACCTATGGGGTCCACAACAGAGAAAGAACAGAAAAGACAAAATCAGAGGAGAAGCCAGGCCATCTAACCAAGCTGGAAGGCCATAAGAGACATTTAATAAAGTCTCTTTTATGTATAAGTGTATAATATATTCATATAAAATATGCATGTGTATATGTATATATGTTTTCATAAAACAATTCCATTTATCTGTCAGAAAATAATTTAATGTTTTCTCATATTAATCCATTATCTCAATATTTTCCCTAATACAAGATAAATCAATCCATTTATATGGCTTTATTCATTTAAGTTTTATAAATAATTTGATTTATTTAATATGCTTCTCTGCATTTTACTTTAAAATTATTAGCCAGGATTCCCATTTGTAGATGGACGTTTCGGTTGTGGAGAGATGAGCAGTGAGAATGGGCAATCTGCTAAAATGATGTTCCTATAAGTTAAGATTTTGAATCTTAATAAACTTCACATACACCAACAGAAATTAATCTTTAATAACCAAAGTTTCTGAGGAAAAAGATTTCAGAAAAGTATATCATTTCATAATATTATAGATTTAAAGTTTTCTTAAAAACTATTTTGATTAAATTGTACAGATGTTCACATTTTGTTATATTTGAAAGACAAATTGCCAAATAAATCCCAGATACAGATATGATACTTTTTGTATGAATCAATTTAAACCATACTTTCAGTGTAATATTCAATAATTTCTGTCCACTGTATACAAAACATTCCCAGTCTTCTCTCCACTCACATACACACAGAGTGAATTTTTATGTCACCTTTAAAATATTTATTTTGAAATATCATACTTTGCTTTTAAGATAATTTGAAAATTTTCAAATCACTTCTAAATCAATGCCTAATATTCCTGACCTAGAAGTGAAGTCAGTACAGATTGCAACATGCCATTTCAAGATTCTTACATGTATGTTGTATTTTAGAATGAGGAGCCCGTGTTTTCTAGAGATGGAAGCAAATTCTTCATGACAGTTCCTGTAAAGCAAGGGGGGCGTGGAGAATTTTACCACATAGCCATGTTCCTCGTCCAGGTAAGTGCCAGCTTCTTTGTGTGTTTTGGTTCCAGTGTCATGAGGTTCCTGAAAGACAATTTTCTTGTAAAGAATTAGTTCATTTTAAGCTAGGCACCATTGGCTCATGCCTGTAATCTAGCTTCTCAGGAGGCTGAGATCTGAGGATCTTGGTTCAAAACCAGCCCGGGAGGGAAAGCCTGAGACTCATCTCCAATTAGCCACCAGTGGTGCTGTGGCTCAAGTGGTAGAGCACTTTCCTTGAGATGAAGAGTGCAAGGCCCAGAGTTCAAACCCCATGACCAACCAAAAAAAAATTCATTTTAATTGTATAAACTAATGTAGTTCATTTTGTCAATGTCATATATGCACATATATGCACATAATTATCTTTAGTTGTATTCATTTTCCATTAGGCTTTCTTCTTCACTCTCCCTTCCCTCCTATTTTCCCCCATTCATCTTTTCTTTTTTTTTATTTATTTTTTATTTTTCATGTTTTTTTTCTATCTAGATTTTGCATATGAGAGAAAATAGGTGATAGTTATTTTTTTCTGACACTGGCTTGTACAGGATGATCAACAGTTGCATTATTTTTTTTCTTGTGAATGTCATAGTTTCACTTTTATATTTGAATAAATTTCACGGTGTGTGTGTTTATAATTATATATACACCATGTTTGTTTCATCCATTTGCCTGCTCATGTGCTCCTAGGTTGATGCCACAACTTGACTCCCAGGCACAGTCCCAAAGGCAAGCTCTGTGGCATAATGAGCACATAATGAATGTGGGGATGCCAATCAGTTGTAGTCCTCACCCCTTTTAGGAAGAGGGTTTCTGTAGTGCAGTGGTATTACACTCACCTGACACATACATTTTGGAAAGAAGATCTCATCCCTAGCTGGAAAATCCAGCTATATCTTCCTACAAAACCGTCTCAACAGTCAATAAAATTTAGTGAACCATATTTATGTGCTAGGAGCTAAGGACCTTGAGATATAAAATTTAATAAATGAAAGGCACACAACTATCAAGGACCTAAGGACAGCCTAGGGAATTTTAATTCATCAAATATACATTATCTACTTTGCAATTGCAAGGAAAAGGTTTTCAGAATAATGTTTTGAGGACTGAAAATGTAGCCTAATGTTGGAACATTCTTCCTAGACCATACAAGTGGGAGTTCAGTTCTCAGTACTGTGACAAAACAAGTTTAAATTACAAAACTAAATGTTTACAGTAATGAATTGTTTAATAAATTAAGCAAGCACATTTACAAGAAAACATAATGATTTTAAAAACAGTAATATGAATGTTTTGTAGGTTATAAATAAAGATTAATGCATATGTTTGTGATGATTAGCTTAATTCTTTGAATTCTCAAAAACTTGTGTCAAAAGTTAAAATTTAAAACCTATGTATAGTACATTATTAAAGTAATTGTCCTGAATTTATCTAAGTTTAATTAAGGCTGTAATAAATATTTTAGAACATCTATCATTTTCACAGCAGAGATATAGTTTAAATTTCATCGTATTTTACAAGGCAAAAAAAGCAGACTGATTAATTTACAGTGATGTGTAATGTGATTCCATTTACATTCTAAAGAAGTGCATGAATTTATAAATGAATGAAAATTTAGTTTTTTTTTAATTTAATTTTATTTTATTTGTGAACATACTGTACAGAGGGGTTACAATTGCATGGGCAGGATAATGCGTACATTTCTTACCAAGCATTGCAGCCCCCTCCTTTGTTTACCCTTCCCATCCCTTCCCAGCCTCCCCCTCCCCCCCATCCCAATCCTTCCCCTTCCCCCCTCCCCCCCACCCCCTTCCCCACCCCCACCGACGTTGTAAAGCTCGTTTTGGACATGACAACTTGTACTTCTCATTGTTGCATCAGATCCCCTTTTTTCTTTAACCACTGGTTTTTCCCCATCTCCTCCACAAGTTATACTGACATCAAATATAGTGAAGCAGGGGTTATACTGTGGGGGAGGGACATACAAAGCAACAAAGAGATAATCTTATAAATGTGTTAGAAACAAATGCATGAAAGAAAAAAACATTAAAATACATATCTAAGTGAAAATTTAGTTTTTAAACAAAATTATCAATTTATTATATCAGACAGGTAGAGTTTTAAGGTAACATTTTCCATTTTTGCTTAGTTTTTAATGCGATCTGGTAGTGTCACTTGTAAATTGTTGTACTTAACCTTTCCCAAGCCAAAGAATACTTCATGGTAATAAATAAGAAAATATTCTGGCCAAAAATTAAACTTTCCAAATTCATAAATATTTATGACCTCTTAATACATTTTTTCATTTCAGAATTTTATGTTCAACCAACTGCACAAAAACATACACGGTAAAGATTCTATAGTCTTTAAGTTGTTTATATAATGGGAGTGTGCAATATATATTTAAGTATACAATTTCCAAAAGAGGCAATCTTCTTAATACATTGGAGGGGAAGAGAACTTGTTACAGTGTTGATGTTTTTGTCAGATTGGGAGATGAGGGGTAATTTTTTTTTGGGGGGTGGTCCGGTCATGGGGCCTGAACTCTGGGCCTGGGTGCTGTCCCTCAACTCTTCAGCTCAAGGCTAGCGCACTACCACTTGAGCCAGTGTCACTTCTGGCTTTTTTCCTTTTGCTTATGTGATGCTGAGGAATCGAACCCAGGGCCTCAGTCATGCCACCTTCCCAGCCCGAGGGGTAATTTGTTTTAGCAATGGAAAGAAGTATCTTCTGTCTGCATAATGAGGGCCTGGCATGCTTTCATTATTTATCTCACTATTTATCTCATTATTTATGAAGTGTTCCAAATAACTTCATATGGGTGATATGTTTCATTTGTTCATTTCTTATTTGAGGATTCTAACAAAGTTTCATTGAAGTTGAAAACATTTATCTCATTCTGGTTTTCCTCATGTTATTTTGTGGTGTGACTTTTTAGGAAATAAACATGGTAGTATGATTATTTGTGGATATATTGACAACTGACTGAAATTAACTCACATCTTTAATAATAAAAGTTCTATGCTCAGGTAAATGCAATTTATACTTGTTTATACAAGCATATGCTTGTATGTATATTGCATACAAAAATCCACTTTTATGACTTATATAAGACTACTTCATTGATGTAAATACACTAGAAGAGATTAAATACTCTGAATAAACTAAATGAGGTCATCTATACAATCATCCAGCCTCCGCATCCAGCCATATCAACTTTTAAGAAACTACTTCATATATTTCCAATTCCTTTTTTATTAAAATTACATGATTTTTCTTTAAAATTGCAGTCATAACATGATTTAGGTTAGCAATACTTCAAAATAATGTAAGAATTTTCTTATACAAGTTAATTGCACTTTCCTCATATCATTTAATTACCTTATTAATATTTTATATTTTAAATTTAATATTTTAATGAGATTTTAATAGCTGGGCCATCTTTTCTCAAGTGGGCCTGGTTACTAGGTTTAAATGATATAATTTAATTCACAATTAAATTATTTTTTTCTGTTTTGCTTGGTTACAGTTATTGCCATAAAATTGCATTTGTAAATGTCAAAATGTATTTAGTTATAGTGTTTTAAGTATTTTGTTTAGGCTTTAGTAAATAATAACAAAAGTGCACAATAACCAGATGTGGTGTTAGACACCGATCATTCCATCACTTTTCTATTCTTCCTACTCTTCCTTACTACAGTATCTCACTTACTAGCAACATGGCCAGAAAATTAAATGGGAGAAAGGCCGACAGTTTGAGATAGCCCTGGGTCAGTTGAACACTTGCTGCTTGGTTGTCAGTGAGAGCATTCTCAGCCACTCAGAACAGAATGAAATTAGTGAATATTTACAAACAGTTTCCTTTCTTACCCAAATAGTGACTAGATTAAAAAAAAACAACAACATTAAATCCAAGTGACCAAATTGCTCTTCAGCTATTTTCATTATGAAGAGTTCAGAAATGTAGCCACAAAGTTATGTTATCTCTTTTGATGTACCAAAGCTGACTCTTGCCAAAGTAATTCTTAAAAATATGAAGAAAAAAGCTCATAGATTTTTTTTTTCTATAGGAACACTTGTAACCTTATGTGCGTTGCAGTGTTGCGTCTTTCATGTTGGTATTTTCTATTTATTTTTTGTTTGTTTGTTTTTTGGTGTTTGTGCTAGAGCTTGACCTCAAGGACTGGGCACTGTCCCTGAGCTTTTCTGTTTAAAGCTAGTGTTTCATCATTTAAGCTACAGCTCCACTTCCAGCCATTTTGGTAGTGAATTGGAGATAAGTGTCTCACGGTGTTTCTTATTCAGGTGACTTGAAACCACATTCTTCAGATCCCTGTCTCCTAAGTAGCTAGGATTATAGTGCCAACAGTTTGAATTTTAAATGCTCACTTTACTCATTATGCTAAGTAACCTTAGGGGAAATTTTAGAAGGTTAATAGTTGACATGTGCATAACCATTGTTGTAAAAAGTTAGATCATTGCCATTGGTTATCACTAAAGATGGCACTTACCTTATCATTTCTTTAGCACCGGTTAGATCTGAAATTTCTGAGTCAAAATAAAATATTTCTGTGCTTTTATATATGTATTCCATTTCACTATATGAAAGCATAATTTAGAGCACTTTCTGTTCACTAATTTTTTCATTGAAATATTTATAATTTTTTGAAAAATCTGTAAAGCTACAATAACTATTCTTTTAGACCATTGATTCCAGGGTCTTTCTCATGGTAGACAAGCACGATATAGTTGAGCCACATCCTTGCTTTTTGGTTACAGTTTGATTTTTTGGTTCCCGCTCCCCCCTCCTAAAGGACCTTACATTTTTCCTCAGACTGATGTGGGCTGCAATATTCTATCTATGCCCCTCATACAAACGTCCACCACAATGCTTGGCTTATTTGTTAGATGTGGTATCAATAACTTTTTCTGGAATAGCTTCACTTCATGATGCTCTATTTTCTGAGTAGCTAGATGGATTACAGGCATGAATTATC